GCCCCCCTCCCATCCGTTTCCCGCGGCCCTTCCCGCCGGGGCGGCCGGGCTTTCCTGCAAAACGCGGGTGTCTTTTGAAGGCGCGTCCCGCGTGTCGTGTCCCCCCCCGCCCCCGCGCACATCTGGATGAGGACACACTTCTCTTTCTCCTCCTCACATGGTGCACGGCCACCAGGAAGAGTTGGGTGCCTTAGGCAGAGCCTTCCTCCCTGCTCCCGCCCCCCGCAGCCTCAGGTCTGCGCTCTGGCTTCATCGGCTTGCGGTACGTACAGGGAGTTCTTCATTTCCACCACTGATGGGTTTTAATTCCTCTCCTCTCCTCCCCCCGCTCCCCCCCATATGAGAGTTCTCCCGGCTGGAGTATTTTCTAGGCCGATTTACATCTGGAGCATCATGTTTGCCCCCTGATGCTGAGTTCAGTGCGGTGCTCCCGGTTGTCAGGAGAAAGGGCAGGCGAGTATAACCCTTTCAAAACTTAATGCCAAAGATTTGGCACCAGAGCGCTGAGTCTGGGAAAGGAGATCCGGGTTAAAACGGTGTCTTACCGGCCCCCTGCTTTGTCGCTCTAGATACATGTACTTGTCTTTATGGGTTGGGGTTTGGGGTTTGGTTTGGTTTTTTTTTTTTGTTCTTCTTGCTGCCATCTTACTTTCTCAGCTGAGATTTGTAAGGCGCATTTAGGTGTATCAAAATAAACGGATAGTAATCTAATTGTGTAGTAAAAAATGTTCTTTGAAAGGAGAATGCGATTAAGCGCTACTATTTGTAATCCCATTTCTCATCTTCTAAAAAATACTTTGGAGGAGATTCGAAGAAACGTCCACGTTACCACGACGAGAATTCTGCAAGCTCTGCTATGGTCGTGACACAGAATGTCCACTAGAGGTCACAATTAGTCATTCTTCTCTGTTCATTTGCCGAGAAGACGAGAAACCCACCCGAACTCCCGTTACAAAATGTAGTAAAGTCGAGAGGCCGGCGTGTTGTCCCCCAGTAAGGTCATTTTTGGTCCCTCTTTAGTCATGCCGGTGTCTGTTTCCACATCGCTGGAAGGGGGTTTGCATTCAGGTAATATATCTCAGCTGCCTGTTAATTTTATAAGCAACAACCACTATTTTAAACCCCTTCACCTTTCTTCGATATGCATGCTTCTGTATTTCATTCTTTCAGGAACAATTATTAGAATATCTATTAAAAAAAAAAAAATGAAGTGGCAAAGCCTGACGGTGATAATGAGTTACCCAGGTGCTTCTGCCTTTGCAATTTGTTGGGCTTCCTGCTCCCCAGGTTTTAAGCCCCTTTGTTCCTCGTGGGGAGCTTGCAGAGGAGGATACAAATAGTGTGGTCTGGAGATGTGCATTTGCTGACTGTGATGGGTTGGAGCGTATGTTCTAGAAATCATTTCAAGATGAATGAGGCTTTACATGCTGTGTCGTGAAGCTGTGTGGCAGAACAGGTAAAGTGCTGGCCTCCCAAGACCCGATCTTTTAAGTACATCACGTGAAGCACTATAGGTTGGTTTGATGCCTATTTCTGGGTTTTGGTTTCTTTTAAATATGGAACATGAATGATTTCTTCCTTCAGCATAACACTGTCAAACTTCCAGTGTAAGCAAAATTAACCTGACAACAGCAATGTGGTTGGTTTTTTTTTTTTGCTCTGTAGTCTGGCATGTTGGAGTTTAGTTATTCTAGTTACAATTACTGATTTTCAATTGAGGAGATTTGTTCTAGCAAGCTGGTGTCAATAGCTGCAAACAACACCTTCTTGCACCAAGAGCAGCAATTTACTGTGAACAAAACCTCAGATTTTAGGATTTGTAATTTTCCAGTAAACGTTCTGATTTATGGCATTTTTAGACTGTAAAATAGCTGGTTTATAGTATGTTTGTGGTAATTCAAATTGTTTCATGGGAATTACTCAGAATTTACATGTATCAGTTCAGTGGTAGATCCGTCTTATTTTCCAGGAAACTTCAGTGAGCGTAACCTTCTTCTGTTGGTTTTGAATTTTGTGACTGGAAGTCTTAAGAAATTTGAAAAATAGGCTGGAGAGCCTGAAAGAGACAAAACACTTCATGCTTTCTGTGACTGTAGGCAAACCACTTAGTAATATATTAAGAAAAAGACCTTTTGAAAGGCTATGGGGGGAAGGGGAAGTGTGGTTGAAAGTTCCAGCTGTCCTGATTTGGAAGATGGTACCTAATCAGTGAAAAACAAGTGAGCCAGTAACTCCACCGAAATAGGTCAACATAGAAATGAGTAGCAAGGATTGAACCTACGTGTTAAATGGTAAAGTATGAGGTGTAAAGAGAAGGACTGGGCTGGCTGATAATCTAAGATACAATAAAGACCTCTTTTGAGTAGTTGAGTTCAGGTGGTTGGGGGGTTGGTTTGGTTTTGGTTTGGGGTTTTTATGATCTGGAGACACACGCTGGGATGTTGAATCAAAGCAATTATTCTTTTCCTGGTGTTGTAGTTGTTACCATTTGCTGCCCAGGAGGAACTTCACAGTTAATAGTCATTATGTAAAAATAGCTTGCTTTGTGTCAACATTTATTTTCATGGCTTGCACTGTGCCATTGCATCCTAGGGGAATTTAATGAACTTGAAATACTTTCTGCAGTTTCCAAATCTTTCTGGCCCTGCGCTGAGACGGTTGCTCTGTTTTTTTCAGTGCAGGTCTCTTTTGCTTTTAGAAAAAGAGGCTCTACTTGCATTTAGTATGTGAACAAAGTGGTATATTTTGATGGCAGGCATTTTTCATAACTCGGGATGAGATTCTGTTCCTACTGAGGCAGCTACTGAGTGCTGTTGATTTCAGTGCAAGCAAAATTGGCTTTTGGTGGGGCGTCTTCTGTCAGGCATCTCGGTTATTTATATGACCACAACATGTAGGAGCTCTAGCTGTGGAGCAGGCTGCCACGATGATAGACTTGTACACACAGAACAAAAGATCTGCCTTGCCAGGGAGTATACAAGTAGGTAAAACTGTGAGGAGAAAAAAACCCCATGCTTTTTGGTATTAAACATACTGCATTTGACCAGATCTATCTTAATTGCTTGAAGAGACACTACATAAAGACTAGAACAAATGCTTCAAAAGGTTCTGCATGCACAGATGGACTAAGGTTTGCATTTCTCTTTAGTTTAGGTCTTGGGGGGGGGGGAATGGTTTCCAATAGATGTCTTTCCTTTAATCAAACTTCTCTGCAACAAAGCCCCTATACCTCAACGTGATTTGCGGGCTATGTAGAAAACCTTTCGGGAGATGAGCCTATTCCCACATATAACTGCCAAACAAACAGGTCTAATGACAGATACAGTTTGGATTGTCAGTGGCACCTGACATAAGAGTACAAGTTCCCTCGTCACTGAGGCACTTATAAAAATCTGAATAATTTTGAATATGAATGTTTCTAAAAGTGGATGAATGACATTTAGTAGGGAGCTGGGTATTCACATATATATACATGTGCACAGAATACAATCTGTAGTTGACATTTATAATTAGACTAACTTATTTCATGAACCATGCGAACAATTTGGGAAATTTGGCTGTGAACAATTAAGGTTTGATACTGGAGACTCGATGTATGTAGGTCAGACTGTAAGCTTTTTCTTTTTAATGTGAGAGACAACTGCCTTCTCTTGTTGTTCTTCACCTCTGTATTGAGAAAATCCTGGCAAAACCTCTTGTACCTGATGCCAGGCTAATTATTGAAGGCTATTAAATTTCAATGAGCATTGACTCAAATGAAGCCCTCTTGGACAGAGATGGGTACTAGGTGGGGTAAACTAGTCTGTTATATCTGAACTCCAGGAAGGCAGACAGAAAGGCATGGAGAGAAGGACGTTGCTTGCCCAAGGAAGGTGACTAGAAGGAGACTTGCTAATGGGGAATTCAAAGGCATGACCATATTCTCACAGGTTTCTCACCAGTGAAATGCCTACCAAGGGGAAGGGACGCTGGCTGCAGAGAAGACTAAGACAAATACTAGGATTTGGAGAAGCCGCGTGTGTGGGCGAATCCAAAGTATGCTCTTGGAAGAGGAAGAAAACTGGCCCAGATAAATGCATACAAACATTATTTTGTCATGATTTTTTTTTTTTGTAGTAGCTAACATAAGGAGTTACTGATGTGATTTTTTTGTAGGTGTTGTTTTTCCCCTTGCATCCTCAGCAAAGGCTACGAGCTTGGTTCACTTGCGTAAACACATGTGAGTTGGTGCACTTGAGATGCCTTCCATTTCCCCTATTCTCTACCTGCTGCTCCAGTAGTGCACGAGCCT